ATATAATACTTTATATATATATATATATATATATATATATATATATATATATACAAACTTGATGAGTAGTATTTCGAGCCAAAACGAGCCGAACACGAACGAACAGCTCTTAGTTCGTGTTCGTCTCGTTAACTTATCAAACGAAATTAACGAGCCGAACACGAGCTTCTTAACGAGCCGAACACGAGCTGTTCACGAACAATGAGCCGTTTTGACAGCCCTATCTATACCTGATGCACCTGTCATATCGGGCAGACATGATGCTGGAAAAAGGCCAATTCAACAACATGGGAAGAATGTTGAATTTGTGAGCTCATTATCTATTACCTGAGCAACCCAATACTCCATCAACTTTGATGACAGAAGTGAGTGTTCTCACCCGAAATCAACGAAAATTTAAAATCTATGAAGCGAAATAGCTTTACTAGCGTTATAAAAGTCTTTCTAAAATCAACCATCCAATTTCAGTTTAATAAAAAGAACTTAAAACCTTGTTTACCGAGCGCATAAGGTTTTAAAAGTGGCAAAGTTAAAGGGTCTAATGAAAAGGATGTAGGAAAGACCCATTATAACTGGGTTGGATCAAAATTCAACTAAAAGACTATCGTCAATAGTTGTCACAAATCAACCTAGACATGTTTTGCTCTGTGAGCATCAGGACATGGCTGAAAGGTCCCGACGAAAAGACAAACAAATATCGAGGCTAATCTAACATGAGAAAGAAGATTTTGCTGGGAAAAAAAAGGCGTGGCATTTGGTGAGCACTGCCGACGATCCAACATCCGTCTAGGATAGGTTGTGAAAAAAAAATCTTAGCTTGATGAAAATCGCGGTGGTTGGCCCATTGGAGAATCCTCCAATAAGACCTATCGTCAATGAACTTTCCCAATGAGGAAATTCATCTCCTTTAAAGCTCTATAATTTAGGAATTATTTGTCTCGCACTTTGAGCCTGATATTTATCGGAACCGTCACTTAGAGATTAGAGTGCAAGAAGAGGATAATAATAATAATGAAGATACAATTGAGGTAGAGGTGGTCTATATGGTAGATAATTCAATAATCAACCATACACTAACTTCTACAAGTCTAGATGATGCACAATTCAACTTACTCCTCAAATAGAAGGGCGAGAAGAACTTGTTAATTTTTTATTAGAAGATGAGCCATTAGAAGAGTCAAGGATGAAGATGAACCTGTTCTCATCGTTAGAGTTGCTTTAAATGCAACATTTGATTAAGGCTAAAGACAAAAAAAACATCTCTCAGTTCAGCGCCAAAATGAACGAGATTATCACGCAAATGAATATTATGATGAAGATGTTGCAAGAGAATACCACTGTAGGCATGATTCCTGTTTCGTTGGTCGACAATCTAGCATCCACCAGTAATTCCAATAAACCACCCGTGAATACAATACCTCAAGCATCTGGGATACATGATGCTTCTAAAGGAAGAATTAATCTCTGTAATAATACAGTTGACTTCTCAACGTGGTCCGAGTGATGATGAACGTGTAACAACTACTCAGTTGGAAAATATCATCAATGAAAGGATCAAAGCCGTCATTGTCTCAGAGTAGGATGAGAAGATAGTGAGTAAATGCTGCCCTTATTCAGCTGAGTACGATCAAGTTTCTCATCCAAAAGGATACTCAATACTAAGGTTTAATGCCTTCAATGATAATAGTAATCCCAAACAACATCTGACCTAATTCAAGGCATCATGTGGCAACACCAGGGGCGCAAGTGCATTTTTATTCCGCCAGTTTATTGATAGTTTAATAGGAACTTATGAATGGTAGGCAAAGTTGTCAAATGACTATAAAAATGTTCGTAGAACTCGAATGATGTTTATTAAGAGATTTGACAACGCTATGGAGAAGATAACTATTTCTTCTCTTGCTTTGGAGAGAAGGAAGAAAAGTGAGTAAGTGATAAAATATATCACTTGTTAGCATAACTTGAGCATGAAATGCGGGCAACATTTAAAAGAGGGGCATGTAATTCAATTATTAATGGGCAACATCAATGATCCCTATTTATGCATACCTTTTATCTCCACTTTCCAAGAACTATTGGACATATTCGCCGAATTTTAGAAACTAAATTTCATAAAATTTGAGAGTCATTTTGATACGGCAAAACAAAATAGAGGTGCAGAGTCTAGAAGAAGCGAAGAACATACCACTTCTTTCGACTCTGATAAAGGAAAATAGTTTGCTTATGAGAAAGAAAGAAAAATTAGTCAATCAACTCTAATCCTCAGTGAAAGTTTGTTTTGGGGGGAAATGAAAAGTCAAGGTTCTTTGATTGGGGAAAGTGTTCGAACCAAAGGCAAATGCTGAAGGGCTAGTATATCATTTTCTTAAAGAAAAGATGGATAAAGAATATTCATATAAAAGAGATAGTATGACAAAGTTATTTCACCAAGCTCTCAAATCTGATCTTGAATTGTTAGAATACAAAAGGCATGAAGAATCATGTTAAACTAGTTGGAGTTGGTACTTTGACTTCTTCAAAATTGCTATCCAAATTACTGCCCATATCACTGAGTAGTTAGCCACCTCATTGAATACTTTTATATCTTTAAAGATTGACTTGAAAGAAAATATAGAAATAGTAAATTTATATTGTCCGACAATGTGTATATAAGTATGACTGCTTAGGTGTTAGGTAGATACATGAGATTTGTGTAGTATGTATGTAAATGCGTCTTATACTTTTTATGTGTGCTCATCTGATTGTAGCTTTGTTTCTGGGTGTGTCTTTTCTACATGTGTTTCATGAAGAATAATTACACAAATCCTTGCGAAGAAGATGAGTTTTTTTATTCAATGCAATTATTCTTTTTCATAATTTTAAATTTTTACTTATTTTTTTTTACCAACCTTTTGTTTAATGATCCTTTTCTGTTAAATGATCAAAGGTTTTGATTTTATAATTTTGCTGTACCTTTTACCATCCTAGAGTCTATAAAAGTGTCAAATTAGTCTTTGGACTGCTTCAATATGAGTGGAAATAGTCTCCACAAAGGACTATTTTAGCCCCCTTTAAAAGTGTATATGGACTAAATTGACATGTCTATGGACGAAGAGTTTGGGGATCATTTTGACACTTTTCTTATTTCTAATATGACAGGTTTTTTTTTTTTTTTGCCTATTTCAGAGCGAACCACCAAAATACTTGCTTCTGGACCTTACGGTCTTATATTTGCATCATTCATACCGTTTTTATTTGATATCCCAATTTCATCGCGAATTCATGTATTTGGCGTACCTTTCAGTGACAAATCATTCATATACTTGGCTGGCCTTCAGGTTAGAGCTATTTCTTCTTTCCGTGACTGCCTCACGTAGCATTGTCTCTATAATATTTTGGAACATTTACATACATACTAGTTAATTCCTATGTATTTGCATATATAAATTCTAACATTTAAACTTCAATATTTACCTATATGCCACTTCACCTATTAATGAAAAGGCATATTTCACTCTTTAAAAGTTAAAATGGTCGTTTTTTGATGTGATATGAACGAGATTTGGGTGGCATGAATGCATAAAATAAAGTTTAAGTGTTAGATATGTAAATACATAACAATTGGGTGGTATGTATGTAAATGCCCCTAATATTTTCAATTTACTGTATCTGATCTCTTTTTCATCTGTCATTGAAGCTTTTTTTGTCTTCCTGGAAGCGCTCTTTTGTACCTACCATTTGTGGTCTACTTGCCGGTTCTTTGTATCGACTCAATGTGTTCGGCATCCGAAGAATTAAGGTCTGTATATGATGACACATAATTTTATTATAGGACATTTATATACATAGCACATAATTCTTATGTATTTATATATCTCACACGTAAACTTTCATATTTACCTATGCATGAAAAGGTATATTTCACTCTTGAAAAATGGTAATAGTGCTATTTTTGATGTGATATTCAAGATTTAAGTGCTATGTGTTTTAATATGAAAGTTTTGGTGTGAAATGTGTAAATAGATTAGAATTGTGTGCTATGTATGTAAATGCCCCTAATTTTATTACTCTCTTGGTGATGTAGATGTATAAGTTGCATTTTCAAGCCGCATTGTGCTAGTGCTGGTTTCACTAAATATTTTTTGCAATATTTCAATTTACTTTTGGAAGATTTAATCATACCACTCAAATCCTATGTGTTTATACATCTAACACCTAAACCTCAATTTTTACATCTATACTACCTTATCTATGCATGAAAATGTGTATTTCACCTTTTAAAAAGTTAAAATGGCAGAGTTTTTTATGTGATTCGGAAGGTTGGGTGGTATAAATGTAAAAAAGCAAAGTTCAGGTGTTAGATATGCAAATAAATAGGAAATGGGCGGTATGTATGTAAATAAGCCTTTATTTTTTTTTCATTTTCAGTAAGTCGGCAAGAGAGCTGTTTGAGAAATTAATACGTCTTTAGAACTGTTTTTGTTGCTCTTTTGAATTCTTAAGATTCAGCTATTTTTGTTTTTGTTTTCTTAATGAAGAAACGGGTTAATGCTTGAAATTGCTGTTCTCAATATGACTTGAAGTTGCTGATGATCTATTTTTATTATTTTTATTATTCTGTTAAGTTGCTGATGATTTTCTTAATGGATTTATGCTAAGGGAGAATTTAGCACATGCCGCAAAAGTTATGTTTATTTACAAATATAATAGGGGCATTTATATACATACCACCTAAATCCTATGTTTTCACATATGTAACCTCTTTGCATTTACATATGTAACATTTATACTTTATTTTTTACATTTATACAGCCTGAATCTTTCATATCACAGCAAATACCAGTATTTTAATATTAAAAAGTTAAATACTAGTGCATAGCTTAAGTGGCATAGATGTGAAAATTGAAGTTTAGTTGTTAGATATGTAAATACATGGGAATTGAGTGTTATATTCATATATGTAAAATTGAAATTTAGGTGTTAGATATAGTAATTTCTACTGTTTCTGCTGTGTGGACATGGCAGTGAACAATCCCATATGCATCTTACATGCCCATATGTTTACAATTCATAATAATATTATTACTTCTCTTTTAGTTGCATTAAAATGAATTTATATACTTTTATAGTATCTACTTACTGTAATTAAAATTATCGAAGTTTTACATACATGGCACTTAATTCTTATGTATCTATGCATGAAAATGTGTATTTCACTTTTAAGAAGTTAAAATAGTTATATTTTTATGTGACATGAAAGATTTGGGTGGTGTGAATGCAAAAAAACAAAGTTTTGGTATTAGACATGTAAATACATAAGAACTGGGTGCTATTTATGCATGCAAGTGTCCCTAAAATATAATATGAAAGAATGTTATTCATTATTCTAGTGTATCGAGCACTCAGAGGACAATTACAAAATTGTCTTTTTAGAGATAGTCGGGTGTGAACGCCAAAATTAACAACCGCATAAACTTTTAGTGTTTTTTTTTTTTGAGAGCTTTGGAGGGCTGAATTTTTCAGAAGACATGCTAGATTATAGATATGATATTATCCAGAGATTTCACCCTCATTTTGCGAGGACTTTGGGGTCTTTTTGCGCGCCGCTGCTCCTTCCCCTTTTTTCGGCCGCGGCTGCACTGCCCCAAGAAGCAGCTGTGGGGAAGCAACTACGGGGAAGCTGACTGTTTGTTTGACTGTTTGGTGCAACTGCGTGAAAAATGCTGTGGGCCAGCTGTTTCATGTAAAAATGACCAAACTGCCCCTGTTTGTTAAAACTGTTTTTAATTTTTGATTTATTTGTATAAATATGAGTGTAATATACATAAAATTTATAAAGATATTATTTCTTAATTAATTAAATGAAATAAATTATTTTTAATATTCGTTTTTATAGATAATTTTAAAAAATATTTTGTAATTTTGAACGCATATAAGTTTAAAATTTATCTTTATATATATATCAATGTATACAAATATTAATTCATCTATACATATAAAAATTTACAAACATATTTTAAAAGCATAAAATGTAAAATATATAAAAACACCTCAAGTCATATGAAGTCGTGTTTTCATACATAAAGACGTAGGAACTCATACAGTTTCGTACTTCCAAAATAACCCAGAGTACATAAATACAACTCAACCACTAGCTAGGAGAAACAAAATGAAAAAAAAACAGAATGACTACGACCACGACGAGTAGCATAATGGTAATGTTATTTCTAACAATGACACGATAATGAGTAGCATAATGGTAATGTTATTTCTAACAATGACACGCTGTAGCTCCTGTGTCTGCCCTTCGTCATCTGAAACTTGCAAATCGCTACCAACATCATCCTCAGCATAAGAGAAACTGTCCGCCCATCAGCAAAATCTGCATTTATCGACAATGCTTTAGGGGTGTATAAAACTTCCTCTACCATAGCTAGGTGCCTGCCGTGAGGTCAAAAGTGGGGTTTGCAGGCCACAATGACAAATCACTCATCGGGAGGTAGCGGACATTCTAAAACTCATATTATCCTGAAAAGCAATGCAACATAAAACATAATTACTAACATATTAGGTAATAAAAAAAAAACTCATTAAAATTGAAATATTTATTTGAAAACAAACACAAACCCTAAATCATATTGTGTTTACAACATATATGAATCCAAATAATCACTCTCCAATTAATGAGGTAGTGATCTCCTCACGAAGGGCTGCCATTTCATTTGCACCCTCCCCATCTTTCGTGCAAATTGAGGCATTGTCGTTCTCCTCCGTTGATCAAGATTGGCCAATGCGGTCACTTCCTCGTCATTGACCTCGACACGCTCGAAATCAACATCAGCTCGAGCTGAATGCCGCCTAATATAGTTATTAAGGGTCATAGTGGCTAACACTATATGCACCTGTTTCGGAAACTGATAAGGTGGCATATCTAGAAGTATGACCCATTTTTTCTTCCAAACTCCAAAAGTCCTCTCAATTACGCCTCGCAAGGATGAATGTCTTTTATTAAAGACCTCTTTTCTATTTCTTGTACGATTGTTGGCTCTCTGAAAATCTGGAATATGATATCTTGTGTCAGGATAGAGTTTAAGGTACCCCCTCTGCATTGGATAGCCAGCATCCACCAAATAGTACTTCTCTGAAAACTTATAAAATTTAGGTGAGCATACAAAAAAAAAATCTACTTGTATTAGTAAGGAACTAACCATGCGGTGGGTGAGGAAAATTGTACTCCAGATTTCTCGTTTCAATTTTAAAAATTCTACTATCATGTGCGCTGCCCTTCCATCCAGCCAATGCAAATGTAAAACACATGTTGAAATCATATACTGCCATGATATTTTGAGTTGTGGTTACGGAACGACCGATAAATGCAACTTTCTCGTTATCCGACACCCTAGCATGAACGTGCGTT